CAAAGTGTGTTCGCATTATTAAACGCATCGGCAGAAAATTAAATAAAACTCATAATATGTAAGGATGACAATTAGTGTCCATTTTGATACCCATCATGAATTGCGGTTTAAAGAGCAAGCATGTTATCTGATGATATCGAGGGTAAATACGGCAGAAAATATAGCGGAATTTTACTATAATAGTGATATACCACTATTATAGCGGAATTTACGTTTCCCCCCAACCTGTTTATTTAAATTATTTATGTAAATTTGGTAATATCATGCTGTAGACCCAATATAGTAGTATCTTTTTATGCAAAAAGAACAATCTTTAAACTTTTGAAATAGTATAATAGTGATATACCACTATTATAGCGGAATTTACGTTTCCCCCCAACCTGATAAAATGGATATTGGCTAATCCGAATTTTTTCTGTTTTTAGCTCTACTGGTCAGAGACCAGAAGAGCTTATGCGATAGTAATGCGTCCGTCGTCCGTCCGTCTGTCTGTCTGTCTGTAAACAATTTTTCAAAATGCTACTCTTCCTACAGTTTTGGCCTGATTTCAATATAACTTGGCACACAAGTAGACTACACTAAGATACATAATTCTGTATATCGGTTTTTGATTTCGATGATCGGTGTTGCCGTGGTTACTAAAAATAGAAATTTCTGTGAAATTCTTTCAAAATGCTACTCCTTCTACAGTTTTAGTCTGATTTCAATATAACTTGGCACACAAGTAGACTACCCTAAGATACACAATTCTGTGTATCGGTTTTTGATTTCGATGAACGGTGTTGCCGTGGTTACTAAAAATAGGAATTTCTGTGAAATTCTTTCAAAATGCTACTCCTCCTACAGTTTTTGTCTGATTTCAATATAACTTGGCACACAAGTAGACTACCCTAAGATACACAATTCTGTGTATCGGTTTTTGATTTCGATGAACGGTGTTGCCGTGGTTACTAAAAATAGAAATTTCTGTGAAATTCTTTCAAAATGCTACTCCAAATACAATTTTAGGCTGATTATAATATAAATGTGGCATGCAAGTAGACTGCACTAAGAACATAAAGAGACTTAATCAAGGATCATTATTCTATTTATTGCTGTTGAAAAGTTTCAATTTCCAACTGCTTAAGTACTTTTCTCTTCCTTTGCTATAAGTACAAACCAATAGAGCTTCAGTCTCGACAGAGACTTCTGGTTCTTAATTGTTTTTAGGATATATTAGTTATTTTCATATGCTTCCTATATTTAACTTTTTCTTATTTTCACATATATTAAAGTAGTCTTATAAATGTACAAAATGATATAAAAGCAAAAAGTTTTGATCGTTTAATAGGAGAGAAATGACACTTTTTATGGATTTTTGGCTCAAATCTTCATTTTGATAGGAAGCATTTAAAAGCTAACATAGTTCTAGTTTGTTTGAAAAATCATAATTATTTGATATATTTTGAAAGTTTAGTCCCTTATTATAAATTTAACTTACCTTTGAAAATTTCTCCAAGTCTTTGATTGTGTAAAAATTATGACTAAATTCATTGCTCTATTATAAATTTGAGAGACAGAAAAGAAGATATTTTCATACGCCACCAATCCGCCAAAAATATAGTCCCTGCTAGTTTTCAAACGCAGTTTACCATTTCTATTTAAAGTTGTACAACTGTGATAAGGAAAGAAAAATATGGTCTTTTAAATCCCTTTCACCTAAATATATAAGACATATAAGGAAATATACTTTGAATGTTTCATCTAGTCAAAAACCAGAGAAGAATCCTACCTTAAAGAAAGAGGGATGTAACGTATTTGTTAATCTCAACATTGTACGACCTACTTTATTAGATTTCATGTACGACTTGTCTGTTGTGCTCTTTGTGTTTATGTTGACTTCCGGTTTAATAAATCCTTAAAGGTCAAATATCAAGGAAATAGATATACTTGTATATAATATATGTCGTAAACAATGGTTAAAAAGAAGGAATTACAATATTCGTTTAATTTTAAACCTCGTTGTTTTCTTTATTTACCTGTTCAAATATCGCTAAAAATAACGTTCATCAATAGAGTTACTTCCCCTTTTTGTGACGTCATTAGAGACACTCTACAAAATCTAGTTATATAAGTATTGTAAAAAGTGCTCTTGATTATCTAAAATTATGGCAAATTTTGGGGAACAGAAATGTTGATATATCAGAGTTATGCGTAGATCTGTCTATTAAGAATAGGCTTTGTATATTTGAGTCAAGAAAGTACGCAATTTGATTATTTTTCGACGACCGATTCTGTTTCGTCCGAAGCCGGTAAGGGTGAAAGTGGAAATTAAAATAACACAACTGACAAGGGATCTTCGCAGAAGCTAACGAATGTACATACATGTAATTTGTATTTAATGCCTTTTACTGAGTGTGCTCAATATTTCCGCAAAAAATATTTTACTGCGGAAAATTGATTTTATGTGTTGTTTGTTATTCATCATATAGGACCAGGACTTTTACATAGAGAAAAAGTATAGAATTCCTTTTTTTTTAATTGCATAACCGGGCACACGGCGATTTTTTTTAATGTTAAGTATACTATAATGAACAATGAACGGAACAACAGAAATTACGTCATGGACGGATATATATCATCCATGGGAATCCGAAAATGTTGTAATCACAGATGCTTGGACCCCCCCCCCCCTCGGTTGTTCCGTACCCCAGTGGGTTTATTTACTTTAAAATATTTTTTTCTATGATATATTCATAAAATATATTACAACCGAAAAATCCAAAATTTAAGGGGAAAGAAGGCTAGTTTAAGCCTTTTATAAATACATACCCTCTGTTACTAAAACAGAACGTTCTGTTTTAGTATCAGAAGGTATGAATTTTCCCCTTCCCTAAGCACCTGTGGTAACTAAAAATTTGTCTGGAACCTTTTTAATTTATGCGTAACAAGTAATTTTTATTTGCCCCCCCCTTCCCGAAGTAACATTTCTTTGTTGTCCCCCTAAACGGATATTAATTGCTTCATACAGGCCTGAAAATCTTTGTCATATAGCGCTTTCATTCTAAAAATATTTTAATATGAATTATTTCACCCTAATTTAGTTTAGAAAAAAGAAAAGAAAACTTTTTTTAAGTATACATTCTGATTTCGTATGCTCTATGTAACTATGTCAAGACGCCAGCACAAGAGAAAATAAGTGCTGGAGGAAAACAAAACTGCGGGCAGAAAATTGAGGAACAATCACTTGCTTGCATGAACACTGAGGTTTTATTGTTTGAATAAATATGTAATGGAAACAATTTCAATATAAAAATTTCTAGAAAAGGGACAACTCGAAGTAAATGAACGCATTCTTGAGTAAGTATTTTCTTAGACAGATATCATGCGCGGATTTAGAGGGGGGATTTCCGGGACATACCCCATCCCAACTGAGATTTTTTTTTAGACACGATAACTTGTCTATTATACCACACCTTCCGTTTTTTGTCAGTCAAGTTTTAGAGATTGTTCCTTCACAGTATATGAAAATTGCTAGTATTATTTTTATTCCAGCATGTTAGAGGTTTACGCCAAAATACATGTACTTTTGACTTGGCGCCGCGTAATGTTCAGTCATACATATACCGAGTGCATGCTCTAATGTAAAGGACCAATCTCTAAAACTTGACAAAAGCGGAAAATATAAAATATCGAAGTATTGGTATGACGGACAAGGAATTCATGTATATTTTGCTTAGTTTTATTTTCAGTAGGGGGAGGGGAAAAGTACATGAACCGATCGTCAGGTACTTGTGATCTTGTTGAGTGCTGTAACAAGAATAAAAAAAAAAACTTTCCCTCAAAACAGTATTGCGGCTATAAATGCTTAAACTGACAAATTGAAAAATGCAATTTAAATTTGAAATAAAACCAAGTTATTCGTGAGATAATTCTATAATTAATTAAAATGTAGCCTAAACTGCATGGTCTATGTAAAATGTCGCTTATATTTATAGTGTTTCGTGTTTATTGGGCTCAAAACCATCTCTTTTTAAACTGAATGTCCATATTTCCCTCAGTTTCAGGTGCGTAAGAATTTAAATATATACTCGTCTTGTTCCGATTTATTGGTACAGTTAAAAGCCCACATGGCAACATCTCGCAAACAATAATGTTCCAAGCACGGGAATATAGCATGCACTTCCTATTTCACGCTGTCTCTGATGACGTCACGCAACAAGGGAGATAAGCGATTTACAATAAATGATCCACTTGTCACACAGGTTAGTTTAAACGACTATTAGTGATGGAAATTGGTGACAAAAAAATTAATAGACCTCAGAATGTCATTCATATTGCTCCAGAGGCTGAAAATAATGGATAATTATGAATTTTCACAAAAATATTATACTTGACCTTTAATCTTTATCCTGCACCATCTGCCCTGACCAGGCACGAATATGAAACACAAGCTACTTCTACAGTTGTAGTCTTGTTGCAATCTTGAGATTTTTTTTCAAGGATCATTATTCTATTTATTGCTGTTGTAAAGATTAAAGTCCCAACTGCTACTTTTCTCTTCCTTTGTTAAAAGAACAAACCAGTAGAGTTACAGTCTCGAAAGAGACTTCTGGTTCCCTTGAAAATCAGTTTTTGTATTGGATATATATGCCGAATACAGTTCTGTATGAAAAAATATCAGACAGTTTGAGGCCCGTAAGGGCCGAAAACTGTCTGATATTTTTTCATACAGAATTGTATTCGGCATATATCGTACTTAAAACATTGCTCTCTACATTTCTTTTCATTTACCTGAGACAGTCTGATATTAAAACAAAAGTATGGCCATTGAATCATTCCTGAATGAAAACTACTCACTGATACTAGACCCTTTATTTTCATTTGTTGATTTACCTGAGACAGTCTGATATTATAACAATAGAATTTAGACTTGAATGAAAACTACTAATTCTCTGACTGAGAGTGTTAGGAATCAGCTATTTTGTATTGGATAGTGGGAGTGAACAAATCTGTTTAAAATGGAGAGTGGGGACGAAATATTCTTGACTCACAACAAATTTAAACCTGAAAGCAATGGATCAGATTATGATACCGATAATCTCGTAAGTGATATTCTAGGGATGGAGAAGGAAAATGATAGTACTGCTGTGAACTTTGATTTAAACTTTGAGAACCCATCAAAAAATATCAATGATGCAGACCCGCTTTCAGAGACTGACATGAACAATCTTATCAAAAGTGCCGTTCCTCAGAATACAGAGAGGAAATCCAGATGGGCTGTAAATATTTTCACAGAATGGGCGAAAACAAGAAATATTGAGGAACCTATTTTGTCTATGGACAATATGACCCTAAATCAATTCCTATGTGGCTTCATCACGGAAGTTAGAAACAAAGCAGGGGAACATTACCGCCCAAACACTCTCTATGAGATTATAACATCAGTTCAACACTATCTACGTCAAAATGGCAAATTTGTCAGTTTTCTCGATGATAATGGATTCCGTAAAATGAGACAAGTCCTCGATGCACGGATGAAGGAAGTGGCTAAAACAGGCTTAGGGAGTTCCCGCAGGAAAGCCGAAATCATTAGTGTCGACCAAGAGAATATGTGATGGGAGAAAGGCTTACTTGGCTCCGATACACCAGCCAAATTGTGGGACACATTAGTTTTTAGGTCACCTAAGTAAACTCAGGTGACCTATTGCTATCTGTTTTCGTCCGTCGTCGTTCGTCGTGCGTCGTGTGTTAACATTTGAACATTTTCAGCTTCTTCTCTGCAACCACTGAACCAATTTCAAGCAAATTTGGCACAAAGCATCTATGGGTGAAGGGGAACAAAAATTGTGAATTTCATGATCCCTGCCCCCTGGGGCCTGAGGGGTGGGACCAAAACCACTAAAATTAATGCAATCTTTAAAAATCTTCTTCTTTACTCCTGGACATCAAGCAGTCAAACTGTTTGCATGATTGTAATCAGCAATGAGTCCGCTACCAAAATTGTGAAATTCATGGCCCTGGGGTCAGGGGTTCTAGTGCTAGGGCGGGGCTAATTAAGTAGGTAGTGAAAATGCATTATTTCTTTGAAAATCTTCTTCTCTGCTCCTGGGTATTAAATAAACCCACTAAGTACATAGTTATGATGAGCAAGAGTACCTCTACCAAAATTGTGAATTTTATGGCCCCAGGGTCAGGGGTTCTGGTGTTAGGGCGGGGCTCTATTGATTATATAGTGAGAATACATGAATTCTTTGAAAATCTTCTTCTCTGCTCCTGGGTATTAAATTAACTAAGTACATAATTATGATGAGCAAGAGGGCCTTTACCAATATTGTGTATTTTATGGCCCCAGGGTCAGGGGTTCTAGTGTTAGGGCGGGGCTCTATTGATTATATAGTGAGAATACATGAATTCTTTGAAAATCTTCTTCTCTGCTCCTGGGTATTAAATAAACTAACTAAGTACATAATTATGATGAGCAAGAGGGCCTTTACCAATTTTGTGTATTTTATGGCCCCAGGGTCAGGGGTTCTGGTGTTAGGGCGGGGCTCTATTGATTATATAGTGAGAATACATGAATTCTTTGAAAATCTTCTTCTCTGCTCCTGGGTATTAAATAAACTAACTAAGTACATAATTATGATGAGCAAGAGGGCCTTTACCAAAATTGTGTATTTTATGGCCCCAGGGTCAGGGGTTCTTGTTTAAGGGAGGGGCTCTAATGATTATATAGTGAAATGCATGAATTCTTTGAACATCTTATCATTTGCTCCTGGTTAATATACTAATGATCTAATTACATATTGAAGGCCAGGATTTATTTTATTTTCAGTTTTACAAACCCTCCGCTCAAGGTTTTGAATTTTCAGAAAAAAAAATAAATTTTTTTCTTTCCGATGTCAAATTTGAGTCGGGATCGAGATTTCAAATTTACGAACTCGCACTTCCGGTTTTACGATGAAACGGCGGGTAAATAAAGCTAGATCTGAGAAGATAGCTTGGTTTAGTGTAAAATTCATCGATAAGAGTGCCATTCAAAACGTTTCACCCGTTCAAAGGACAAATAAAATGCTGACGACTTTGTTGCACAATGACATGCTGGTGAGATAATTATGTATTCGTTTAAAAAGTAACTGTAAATTATTTTCCTCCCCCAGGTTTTAAACTGCCCGTGGTAGCTATTGCATATTGCCAGGGACATTGTTTAGGTCTCTGTTATAGCTTACAGTCTAAGCATCATTCTTCAGAAAAGGGTTGCTTATGCATCAGATGTAATTCATAAAACTATGGGAGAAGTGAAGTCCATTTGAGGAAGAAATAAACAATAACCTGAAGAAATAAAAAAAAAATTCAACTATTAAAAGGCAAGAATATACAAATATATACAGGCATGTAGTATCATTTGTATCAGCCAGAAAAATTATTTTACACTTAATTGAAAAAATGTTGACCCTACTCCCCAATACTCCCTGACTGTTTTATGATAGGAATTATAATTTTAGGCATCAAGTAAATTTTAGAACAATGTCTACACATTCACCTAACACATGTTTAAAAAAAATGAAGATATATTGAAAGACTTTTAAAGAATTGATTTTTTAAAATATATTTTGACCAACATCACAAAATTTATATAACTGGCCCAAACTGGCAGATGATGAAATAAGCAATTAAATGTTCTACTTTCCTATATGTAAGCATTATGTGTCCAGTGGTTAGGAGCCTATTAGAATAGCATAAAAAAGAATATATAAATGTTAATAATTGATTTATCAAAAAAAAAAAAAAATTATTTCCTTCTCCTTCGGGACTTTTTTATTCTCATGTTCATAACTAAACCTAAACATAAAAAAATGCTGGCCTTATAATGAAGAAAGGGGCCTCTTTCAAAATAGATAATTTCAGGGCCAATGGGTCAGGGGTACCAGGGGGGTGCTTTGACTAAAAATAAATTAATGCTTTAAAATCTGCCATTTGATAAGCAATGGTGCCTCCTTCAAAATTTGTGAATTTCATGGCTTTTGGATTAAAACACGAACCAAATACAATCGGTGGAAAGTTGTTGCATGATACTCAGGTGACCTATAAGGCCCGTGGGCCTCTTGTTTCTTTCGGATTGAATTTTGCATTACCGGCAGGCCAAGAACATCGAAACTTGCGAAGAGGGACTAGGTTACAGCTGGAAGTGAAGGAGGACAGCGACGGCGCCCGTTATTTATTGTACACAGAGGACGTGTCCAAGACCAATTCCGGGGGGTTAAACTCAAGGAAGATGGATCCTAAGTGTGTGCGTGTGTATGAAGATTTTGAAAATCCTGAGAAATGTGTTGTTAATTTGTACAAAAAATATGCGTCATTGTGTCCAGAAAGTGGGAAAACGAATGCCTTTTATTTAAGGCCTAAAAAATATCCGACCGATGCATTATGGTTTGATGATGTTCCTGGAATTCATCCTCTCCAGAATACTGTTGCGCGTCTTTGCAAAGATGCAGGATTTACTGGCTACTTTACCAACCATTCTCTCCGTGCCACAGCTGCCACACGTCTCTATTCGGCAGGAATTGATGAACATGCAGTTAATCTCTGAAAAAACTGGCCATCGTTCACTGGCACTTCGTGGATACAAGAGAACATCGGATGATCAACTTAAAGCCGTTGACGGCATTCTGAAGTCGAAGAATATGAAACCTTCTACTTCTACATCTACATTCCCTTGTGATGTGGTTTCTACTTCGTGTGATGCTATGTCTTCTTCTTTTTGTGATGCTGTCAGTGTGTCTACTTACAAGGGGAACTCGACTGGGAGAAGTGTACATGTGAAGGCTGCAAGAAAAGTGTGTTACCATTGACATTAATTTCTAATTACAGTCAAGACTGTTATTCTGTTTAAATGAAAAAAGTTTTCATTCTCCTTTTGTCATGCACAATTATTCACAGTTTCAAAATATGCATTGTGTATATAAAACATATTAAAGTTTACTGTTTGTTAAATAATTGCATTATTTTTCTTTTGTTCTGTAGCAGTCCGATTTTGAAGGATACATTGTATCAGTACTGAGACAGTCTGATATTACGATAAATATCAGACTGCTCACTAATATCGGACTGCCACAGGTAAATTGGAATGATGTCACAGCAATGTTTTAATTTTTGATACATCATGACTGTGATGATTGATTGATTGTATGTTGTTTAACGTTCCTCTCGTGAATTTTTCAATCATATGGAGCCGCCACCACTTGCCGGTGGATAGCTACATATTTTGTCCTATACACGGCACTCAGGGCCCTTGAGCAGTGAGAGATCATTTCGTGCCAGCACCTACTGCGACACGGGGCCTCGGTTAATACGGTCTCATCCGAAGGACCAGTTTCCACGTCCCAGATTGGGATTTGAACCAGCGGCGAAAGAATTGACTGCTTACTTGAAGACTCTAGAGCAGACGCTTTAACCACTGCGCCACGTGGGCGACTTCATGACTGTGATCTAATAACCATTCTCTATCAAATTAGAGCCCACCAGAGTGGTGATGCAACAATTCCAATGACCTTACACAGAATTAGAATAAAATATAATTAAAGTAGCCAAATTTGTAAAGCAAAATACAAAGTCATGTAAACATCATGAATATATACCTTTCCTAAAATAAAAAAAATAAATTTGGCACAATTAAATTCAAAGGAATTCACAAAGCGCATCTGTCAATGAATGTTTTTGACTCTCTAAACTTAAAGCCTACATGTACATAACAAACCACACACAATGAAGTACAGGCTTGGCAGATTGATTTCGTGTTGTTTAACATCCCTCTGGAGAATTTTTCACTCATATGCCACTTGATGGTTTTCACTTAGTCGGCACTCAGGGCCGTTGAGCAGTGAGGGATCTTTTTCGTGCCAGCACCTTCTGCGATACGGGGCCTCGGTTTATACGGTCTCATTCGAGGAACCGGTTTCCACGTCCCACTGTGCGATTCGAACCTGCGACACAAAGATTGACTCCTTACATCAAAACTCTAGAGAAGCTGCTCAATCAATTGTGCCACGCGGGCGACTTTGAAGTACAGGATATGAGGTAGATATTCCAAGAAATGAACAGGCTTTTCTCATCTTGTTTCATAAAGTTCCCAACAGAAATCGCTGCATCGAAAAGTGGAATTTTCCCATGCGGTATTCTTTGAAGCTTTTAATTACCCATTTCGTCTTTTGACGATTGTTTGGATGAACTGACATAAGGAATTTCCCATGAGAATTTCGGTTTCCACCGAGAATTGTCAGTAGCATGAATTCACAACCTTCATCCATGGCGTTCAAACTTGAATGGTGAAAGATATGAAGATAACGAACAGTATTCAATATCAAAGTTTATAAAACAATAAAAGGTAGGAGCAGAACAAACACGGACACCTCTAAAACATCAAGGGTGGGATCAGGTGCCATGGAGGAGTGAGCATCCCCTGCTGACCGGTCACACCTGCCGTGGGCTTCTTGTAATGATCGGGAAATAACGGAAAAATCCGTTGTCAATTCAGTGTATTAATAATGGACTAACAATTAGTGTGAAAAACGTCAGTCAGCATTTGACTAAATGTTAAATTGTATTTGCTGGCAAGGTCATTGTATCGACCAAGGCACTTAAAAAATGATTACTTTAAACGAAACTGCTGATATTCTTGTTTCATCAACATGTTTGTCAATAATTTACCTCGTTTTAGAAATTATTCATACGTAAAGCATGCTCTTGCGTATCGAATCAACTGAGATATATAAAAGCCGTATGCAGGTGATGAAGGTACAGCATATTGCTGCATAAGTAAGGAAGGTTGACTGTAGAAAAGTTAATGTCATCACGTTTATCACAGAGCTTGGTCGTTAGATATGCGAGTATTTCTAAAGTTCAAGAAATACAGTGCGCTGTACTTTTCGAATCACGTGCTTTTCTCAATGGTCATATAAAATTGTATATTGAAATTTTGATACATTCTGCCAAACTCAGTGCATGAGAATACAGTTGAATTATGTGCTATTTACGTGAAAGTGATATATAGATCATATAGGTAACTCAGTACCTGAGAACAATGATACAAAACATAGAGTACCCTTTAACTCGTGCATCTTCAGATATGTATCAAACTCTGGGGACAAACCCCTCGTCTGATATCTGAAGATACACTTGTTAAAAGGTTCTCTATATATTAAACCATTTATACACCGGGGCCGCGTCCTCATGGCGATTGCACAGCGTCCTTAAAAAAAACAAAACGCCGAGGTGAGCGCAGTAGAGTCTCCTACAGCGCAGTGAGAACGCGGCGAGATCGCCACTGAAAGACCCTGTTCGAACTATTTTGAAATAAAAGTATTTAATTTTTTTAAATTGAGAACTGCACATGGGGGAATTATTACACATGTACGATTATTATTCTATAATTATACTAACTTAGTATTTACAATAGTGAACAGAACGTACCCAAACATTAAATATTTCCCTGTATATGACCAGAAATAAAACTGTTAATAAAACTTTGATATGTTTTTTTTTTATTTTAATTATTATGATCTTGTTATAATCTTGTCTTACAGTCAATTTTAAATCAATATGAGCAGTATGTTTCAGGAAAACGAATCCATTTAAATTTTTATTATGTATATGTATAATAGCCCATAAAATCGGTCAACCTTTAGAGAAACTCATTTTAAATAGTCCAGCAAAAATAACATGGAACGGTCAAGGTCTTCCATTTTGAAAGGGGGCATGGTAAAATGAAATATAATGAATATATTGCCCTTTAATATGATCAATATGCATTTTTGAAGCAGATATATGTAAAATAAATTACCTTTAAATTTTTTGTAGACATTTATATTTTGGGGCACTAGATTCTTCTGACAAAATTTAGGAGAGGGTACCGACATAGCACGGCCCCTGTTAAAAATGGAAACCCATTTTGTGAAATCAAGAAAAATTATCCAAGAGTTTACTAGTCCGATTAAATTTCCACAACCTTTTTTTTAATTATTTTTAAAAGTAAATAAGCGTGCAAGAGTACCAAAGAAAAATTTTGAAGTAGAGGTTAATAAAACGTGCCAATCTTTCTCTCGATTTAGACTCAAGTTCTTGAAGTTTGGCAATATGACTGACCATGTAAATGCACTTGCGTTCATTATTTAATCGCCAATCCTCTTAAAGTAAGAAAAGACTTCACTCAGCGTTAAAGATGTTTTTACAGTGCATGTACATATTGTGTATTGCTATACCATTCTGGCACACAATCAATGTATCAAAAATATTTAAGTAGAAAATCCAAGACAAAGTGTTTAAACCAACAGTGATTTGGCATTAATCCGAGTGTTAGACCCGGTTTTCTCGTAATCCGTTTATGTTTAATTTAGGTATTGTTCCCTCTGACCTGAATTTAAAAATTTTAATTCAATATTAGAGTGAAACCTGATCAGTTCAAACGTCGTAATGGTAAGATTTTTTAATTCCAATTTTTAGAAAATTTTAAGCATTTTATATTCATTTTTGAAATATCCTATTTAAAACAATGAGCAAGAACTAGAGAAAGACTATAATATAATTAAAATTCGTGTATTAATATGTAATATCTTATTTTGAATTTTTAATGTAATAAATTTAATTTCTTAAACTTCTTAATATGGATTAAAAATTGTTATTTTTCCTCTTTTAAAAATTATATCAGCGATTTTTTTTTTATTATATTAATTTATTTGAAACACAAAGAAAGTCATAAAAGGGGGGGTTTAAGAATCAATGGAATACGGAAATATTGGAAATAATGATAAAAAAGGAAAATCATAAAAATAATTACATGTACACTGTACTTAAAAACATGTACATGAAGTATCTATCAACTATGACTATAGGCGAACAAGTAATTTTAAAATAGTAAAGAATATAGAAAGGATTTCAGGAACTGACTAATCATTAAATAAATTATAGAGCACCAAGATAACTTTTTTAGGAACCGAATTATACTTTTTAAAAATAAACGTGTAATTTACATTCTCGCAGTCCTCTTACTGTTTTACTGGGAATTTGCGGATATAAATATAACTATCAAATTATTATTTCAGATATTGAAGGCTAAAATTCGCTACGCTTTTTTTTTAAATTTTAGACTATATTATAATTTTATATATTTAAATATATTTCAATAGAGACGAATACCTTCATGTATGTACGAGGGCCGTTCAAAAATTACGCGGACTGTGCTGTTATTTACTCTTCCAGACGTCATATAGTTATGAAATTCACAGAAATATGTATCTTAAAGATTCCAATAAATTTTGGGCAAAATTTCTGTATTTTAAAAAAATTCTACGAAAATAATAGGTATGTTAATATCGCTGATGGAGAGGTACGGAGCACGACAAAAAATTTGAAGCAAAAGCATGCGGAATCCAAAATTTCACTCATTAATTTTCTATAATTCGAGATATTTTTCGAAAATTTTCTCAAATGTATCTTTAAATTGTTCCATTATTATGTATTTAGATTTCTGACGTGATATTTGAAGTACTTACAGAAATATAGTGATTTTTCTCTGATGCGATTCCCGTGAAAACGACTGTGAAAATGACGTCTCCTGAATTGACGGCGCACCACACTTTTATTAAATTATGTGTAATGCTCGAGATATCACCAACATACATCCAAAATATGCATATTAAAACATGTAGTTAACTAGGGTATTCGTGACATTCGTCCACAAATAGCAAATTGAAATTTTAGAACGTTAGACCTCTGTAAAAAGGCCATACGGTACACTATACGGGAGGACGGGAAGAAGATTATCGACGAAAACTTTATCCGGACTGTAAAGAACGTGATTGAGGGTCACCGATATCACACTTTATCTCATAAATACCTGTAGTTTTTGGATTTAGAACAAAAAAGAATATTCTTTACTTGTTTAATAGATTTTAAGCTTGACAAGAAATGGTGTTCGGATGTTGAGTAGATAAGGCAACTCAAACTGTACAGGTACTCTTGGGAAAATGTTGAGAAAATGAAAGCTCATTTCAATCACATATTTTTTTATAATGCCTTTGACGTTGAAGATTTTGCTGCTCCGTGACTTAATGATATGTCCTGAAAAATCACTCAAAATTGATACTAATTTACAACATTTTGATATGAAATTTTGAAGACCATATAAGTAAATATTCTTTTATATTATGTGTGACATTTTGCCCGATTGTATCGTCAAATATTTTTTCTGTGCAACAAGTCCGCGTAATTTTTGAACGGCCCTCGTATTAGCTGTAGAATAAAAGTCTTAATGAATGCTGTAACCTAACCCGGAAACATGCTTTTCTTAATCATGCAAGATACTACTAGTACTCCAAATGATATTTTTATTTGATTTGATAGATGTACATATACATTACTTTATTTATTATTTTATCTATTTATTTATTTCAACATATTAATTAATTTTTTACTGGATGCCTTTAAATTGTCAAATTGATGAACACATCAATACAACAATGGTGACTCTGGTTATGTTTTTCTATTTCACATTTCGCTTTGGAAAACTGTACAAGAATTTTGTTCGCAGCGTTCCGCTAGCTAAAAAATAAAAATAAACACATGATAAGAAATACCTTTTTAAATTCTCCATTTTCAAAGAAGACATATATACATTACAGGGGATATGATTTTCTTTTCTCACTTATCATAACACATTCGGAAAAGGTTGGTTTTGCTCGGGGTGGCGTGAGTTAGTGTTGGACACTTATTTATCCAATCTATTTTTAGGCGTGTTTCCTCCCCGGTGGGGCCCGGGTCCTTGTTGTGGTGACTTTGATTGTGACTATAGCAAATGGACAGCTGTTCACCAACCACCGAGGACGTAAGTTAAAAATACAATCATTAGTAAGACATGTTTAGGAATCTAAACACTTCTCAATTATAAAGTATTTAGAGACACTTGTTTTGTAAACTTGCAAAAAATGAACATGTACTTATGCAGAAAAAAATTAAAATTGTAACTAGTAACAATGAGACTTTTAAAGCTATACCAATTCTAATTGTAAAGGCATTTTGGTGTATCTATCTGTTCTCTTTTTTCCTAGCTTGGAACATAGTCTTCAAGCTTCCGTATAACAATAAACCCAGTGGATACAGCAGCATCATCGATTTATGGAAAGCCTCTGGTCACATGAACGGCGAGGATGTTGATGCTATGACCGACTTCAGTACCTCCTCCAAAATTTACAAATCAAAATGGCTTGACGACTGGGAAACTAGGAGTTTCTCCGCGGTAAGAGAGAGAGAGAATGTAAATTTGGAATGATATGTTTTAAAAAATTATAACTATTCTGTACAGGGAGTAAAATCCATTTTTTTGTCTTTCTTTATAATTTTGTCAAAATTCTATTTTATTTAGCTATCAACTGTTTGTAAACGGGGTGGCTTCAGTGTTCTCAATTAATTTCCTATAGACATATAGTAGTTTTCCAGTCTTTATGTCTCAAAACTGATAAAAGCATATTTGATCAATTTTAAACTAAGACAGGGTATTGACAAATGTGTTGAAGCAACAGAGCTTTAAATATTGTTTAAAGTCAGTATATTGCAAATTCTTTGAAGCTTATATGATTTTGTTTGTAAATACATGTACTACCTATTGTTGCGTATTACATCTTTTTAAATTGTTAGTTGTATCATTTTTTTTCAAATAAACTTGACTACGAATTTTTATTATGATTAAAAGGGGCAAACTGATGGGCCTTTTCGGTCGATGCAGTGTATTTTTAGGTTATGTCCTCGATTTGCGGACGCTCGATCTGTGGATTTGTGTATCTGAAAGTGTAAAAGGATTGTAATGAAAATAATATCAGTTAATAGATCATTAACTCTTTCAAAACGGAAAAAGGTTTATGTGAGGGATTAGGTTAATCCTGTATTAGCCTCCGTTACACACATAGAAAACTTATGAAACTCACCCTCGTCCTTCATTATTTATGCATATAATTATATGTTTTCACATTGTTCCGAAATAAAAAGCATAAACAACAATATTAAATGAAATAAATGAATATTAAGTAGTTCAAGCACTTTTAATATAACTGTTAAGAAATTATCAAGTCGTCTGGCCATATTTGTACTAAGAAATATTTCTTTTGAATCCTTAAACGAATTCATGTGATTTGGCAGCATGTCAATTTTTCAAAGCAACGAACTTTTAAAATAGCAAATTCTTAGATATTGTGATGTAATCTAAATTCTTAATTTCTATAAAATAATTACGTGTTTTAAAGTACTGACTCCGCGAAGGGCAACTTTCAATGACAGTGACAACATACGAAATACTATATAGTATTTGTGCAGCAGGCCCCAATATCGTATTGTTTTCCCAAATTTTTTTTATTAAAATCGAGAATTTTGTTTTATGACTATTCTTTCAGAACACCACATTTTCTATTTTAATAAAAAGAATTGTGGGAAGACAGAAACTATGGAGAACTGTTATGGTCACTATAGCTCCTTATTTTGTATATTTTGCTGAGGTATCAGTCATATTAATAGAACTTCGAAATTTCTTGTTCTATAGTTCAAAATTTTAGCAAATTTTGTTCATGAACCCCCTGATTTCTAATATATTTTGATTCTAGGTATTTTCTAAATAAATGAAAAAATAAGATGAAAAGATCAATTCGCGACCATACCTTTTGTAAAGACATTAAAAAATTTTCATTGAAATCAATGTCTTGTCAGATTCCCGCAATTTCAAGCGACATATATATATTTCTCAAAAATATGCCAACCAACCTATCTCTTCAAAATTATTTTTTTTTCAAAACAAAAAAAATTTATATATTATATTTTCCCTATTAAATAAATATGTGAATTACATCAAGATTCTGAATCATCTTGAGTGGTTCGATACCTCAAACTGTCAGACAAGGGAACAAAACCTCGAGGGTAATAACGAATCGGGAAAAGTGAAATTAAAGATACGTATAAAAATTACTGAAGAATCATGACTTTACCGAAATTACTTATAATATTCTTTATAAGAAATTTCTTCATGATAAAACAATAAAACCAGCATAGAAAAGTGTTTCTATTTTTTTTTTCAAATTAAGCGATATGTGCAATTAGTGAAAACACTAGCTATAGATATCAGTCCAGCAAGTTTGTCTTTGTTTGCAGGTGCGATTGTCCGCCTATAAAAACAGCAAGGAAGTAGCCTTTATTACATTTAACAGTATGGGCAAGGGGAAAAATGAATGGTTGGACTGCAATAACATCATCGACTCCTCGTACACCGACGTCACATCCCAATCCAAAAACTACTGCCAGATGGAGTAAGACAATTTCTTACTGCTTAGATCTTATCTAGTACATGTAATTTGTAGGGTTTAGAGCTAAAAATTGAGTAAGCTTTGGTATACCAATCACAATTTACGAGTACTTTTTGTTGTATCTATCTAGCTTTGCATTTGGAAATGAGGGTGCTGAGTGTTATCAGCTTTCAGCCCGGATTCTAATACTGCGTTTTCCCAGAATGCCTTACCGTTAATTTGAACATGCGCATTTGCGTAAAAGAAAGACAACCTATAAGAGCGCTTGCAACAACTTTGATTGTGAGCTTTTAAATACCAATTTTGTATATTTGCTTCTCTTTAAAGAATTTTTTTCTTCAGGTCGGATAAGAAAATAAACTTTAATGTATCCTGAAATATAAAACAAACGCTTTTTATCAGAATCTGAATGTGCAACATTGATGTATCTTATCACATCACTAAAAGTCAACCTGTTATTTCGTGTTTTCTCCTATATGATGAAAGTATTTATTGTGATCCATTGTGACAAAAGTAGCTTGAAGGAAAACAACGTATTGGTGAATTTGAAGACTTCTTTGAAATTCTTTTAGGGGACTTTTTATGATAAACATATGATAATCAGATTATTATGTCTAAATATTACAAAGATAGTCCTGCTACAGTAACTGAATAAAAAATATTTTCTTCCAAAATAATCACTCATTATAATCACAATAAACCTTGTTTTGAAACCCTTCAGTTATGGAAGTAACCAAGAAAGAAACTTCTTCGTCAACCATAACTATGGCGGCTGTCCGAGCGATTACGGTTGGTTTATGATGAAGGACTTTAATGCCCTCAGCGGATGTTCTGAATGGGATCAGGTGACGGGAAAACCCTACTTCCTGTATGCTGGCGGCACCACTATGGTGAACTGGGCTACCGGTATATATATACAGCTTGCATACAAATGTTGATAAGGCTTTTTAGTTTCTGCTCATACAATGTCAAATGATTCAGCTAAGTAACTTACCAATACTTTTAACAGTATACATCACAATTACAGTTGTAAAGACGTAATTCATTTCTTTTCATATTGATTTTTACAGGAAACAAACAAACAGCTGACTGCATGGTCGTCTCCGTTATGGGTGAGTTCTAAAGAATTTCAGAAGGTGCTACGCACTCTTAGGCAATATTGACAGCTCGTACATTCAATTCAATATAAAAAATTAAAGACATGTTATATTTTTTTAAGTTTAAAACTAATTTCATTCAGTAAAGAGCACTTTGCAAAATAACACATTTCCGGTAAGACACATGTGAGTATGGCATGGGAACTATTTTTCAGCTTGGGACATGGTGTTCAAGGCCGTCCAGGGCGTTGTTCCCCCTCAGGGAGGGCTCCGCCAGCTGTGGACGTCCAGCGACACTCTGAATAGTGACAACCCCTCGGCACAGACCCTGACCCGCGCCCCTAATCTGGTCTACAAGTCAGCTAACGTGGAGAAATGGCAGAGCATACCCGGATTCTTCATTGAGAGCGTAGGGATTTCTTCTTGTTTCACGGATTTATAACCAAGTTAAACAATATACTAGTAGTCGTTCTTTTTTCCAAGTGCATTATTTTTCAATATTATACTTTCATGAAAATTAGTTGAATCTGATTGGTCGAGAAACATTTGTTAAAATACATTATTATATGATTGAATAATTTCCTTCTCTCTGATTGGCTGAGATCCAACTATGTTACAAAAATACTACGTTGTATTGACCTGCACGTGACGTTCCAGGTGAATACAAGGATTTATTTCCTCTACATTGATCTAAAAATAGATTGGGAAATTCCAAATTGATACAAATTGTTTTGGAAAGCTATTTAAATGACTATGACTTTTTTTCATGTGAACAAAACATAATCGAATATATATTTTCGAGTGAGTGTGGTAAGAGGGGATGCAGGAAACCCTCTCTAACACTTTTACTGAACAACAATTTTACTGTTTGGCAGTTAGTTTTCCCTGATAATACTCCTTCCTTTCAAAATCTATCCTATAAAAAAGACTAACGTTATATTTTTTTTTCATGGCAACTAAAATTGATTTAAAAAAAACCTTCAAATTGATACGACTGGTAAGGTTTATTTACATTCTAATTATGCTTCTCTCTTGTATTTGGCTAGGACTTAATTAAATGCAAACAAGTAATGAGCTGTATCATTTTATCAGTGAATCATATAATAAAACAATTATTGCTGTTTTTTTCGGTCAAAACAATGATTTAGCCATCTTCGAAGTACAATATTCACCTCGCCCTTCGGGCTTGATGAAAATTGTACTCCTCAGATGGCTAAATCATTGTAATAATTGTATACTATTACCCGCTGAATAATGAAGCCACGCCCTCCAGCGTAGCAACAGTCAACAGTGCTTGACGACGGGTGATATTCCAAAAATAGCGACTGCGCAGAATTTATGCACTGTTATATATATTTGTATAAAACATTCAGTATAATATAATAAATATTGCATGTAGTTGAGTGTAACATTGAAAATTTTCACCCCTAGAAAACCATTTTCAACCGAGGCGCAGCCGAGGGTTGACAATGGTTTTCTTGGGGTGAAAATTTTCAATGTTACACTCAACTACATGCAATATTTATATATTGTTTAAGAAAACACGTTTCACAAAATTATTGTATACATTTGTATGTGTATTTAACATACTACTTTAGAGGTAAAATCGTTTTCAGTGTATGAATTTTGTTGGAATTTTAGGTAAAATACGCATTCTTTACGAATGGTAAAGAGGTCGCCTATATTATCTTTGACGGCCGTGACACGGACAAAAATGGCTGGTACAATGACGACCGTATCCTGTACTCAAGATGGACGGACATTATTGGCTACACCAAAGTAGGATCATCCATTGATGGGTAAGTTTATAGCAGAGTTCTTCAATATTAACGACTGCATTCTAAAAGGCTAAAAATCGAACAGTAATTGGAACCAGAAGTCTACTGGTTTGTACTTATAACAAAAGAAGAGAAAAGAAGCCATTGCCATCAGACCAAATATGTAGGAGGAGTAGCTTTTTAAAGGAATATCGTAGAAATTTCTATTTTTAGTAACCATGGCAACACCGTTCATCGAAATCAAAAACCAATGCACTAAATTATGTGTCATAGTGTAGACCACTTGTCTGACAAATTTTATTGAAATCAGACCAAAACTGTAGGAGGAGTAGGGATTTAAAGGAATTTCGCAGAAATTTCTATTTTTAGAAATGGCAAAACCCGATCTATAGTGTAGACCACTTGTCTGACAAATTTTATTGAAATCAGACCAAAACTGTAGGAGGAGTAGGGATTTAAAGGAATTTCGCAGAAATTTCTATTTTTAGTAACCACGGCAATACCGTTAATCGAAATCAACAATCGATGCACTAAATTATGTATCTTAGTGTAGTCTACTTGTGTGCCTAGTTATATTGAAATCAGACAAAAACTGTTGGGGGAGTAGGGTTTTAAAGGAATTTCACAGAAATTTCTATTTTTAGTAACCATGGCAACAGCGTTCATTGAAATCAAAACCCGATGCACTAAATTATGTGTCATAGTGTAGTCTACTTGTCTGACAGATTTTATTGAAATCAGACCAAAACTGTAGAAGGAGCAGCGTTTTAAAGGAATTTCACAGAAATTTCTATTTTTAGTAACCATGGCAACACCCTTCATCGAAATCAAAAACCGATGCACTACGTTATGTATCTTAAAGTAGTGTACTTGTGTGCCAAGTTATATTGAAATCAGACTAAAACTGTAGGAGGAGTAGCATTTTGAAAAATTGTTTACAGACAGACGGACATACAGACAGCTAGACAGACGGACGGACGACGGACACCTTCCTATCGCATAAGCTCTTCTGGTCCTGACTAGTAGAGCTGACCAGAAGTCTCTGTCGAGACTGTAGCTCTACTGGTTTGTACTTATAACAAAGGATGAGAAAAGAAGCCATTGCCATCAGACCAAAACTGTAGAAGGAGTAGCGTTTTAAAGGAATTTCACAGACATTTTTATTTTTAGTAACAATGGCAACACTGTTTATCGAAATCAAAAACCGATGCACTATATAATGTATCTTAGTGTAGTCTACTTGTGTGCCAAGTTATATTGAAATCAGACCAAAACTGTAGAAGGAGTAGCGTTTTAAAGGAATTTCACAGAAATTTCTATTTTTAGTAACAATGGCAACACCGTTCATCGAAATAAAAAACCGATGCACGATTTTATGTACCTTAGTGTTGTCTACTTGTGTGCCAAGAAATATTGAAATCGACCAAAAATGTAGAAGGATTAGCGTTTTAAAGGAATTTCACAGAAATTTCTATTTTTAGTAACCAACCATGGCAATGCACACTGTTCATCAAAGCTCTAGTCTAAGTGTAAAAGCTCAATTCAAGTATATGTATTTTACATTTTGTGCATGGAAATTTGATTTAGAGAATTCGAAATTAACAAATGTTAAAGAGTAATGCCCATATACTAGCTTGCGTCAAATATATATATAGAAAGGAAATTGCCCCCCCCCCCCGGCTAATTTCCCCAGTATCTGGAAGTCAAAAACCTAGTGAAAATAAGTTGCTGGTCATCCTAATATATTTTCGCAATAAGTTAAATGAGGAATAAAATTAAATTTTGCGTTTATCAAAATATTTATATTCGATGCACTATTTTAAGTATTATCCAACCTTTTTAAAAGAAACTTTTTCAAAAATTAGCTTAAAAACGTGTTTTTCCATATATTAATTAATCGTCTACTTGTATGCTAAGTTATATAAAAATCAGACCAAAACTGTAGGAGGAGTAGCATTTTGAAAAATTGTTTACAGACAGACGGACAGCTAGACAGACAGACAGATGGACGGACGACGAACACCTTACTATCGCATAAGTTCTTCTGGTCTCTGACCAGTAGAGCTAAAAATGAGGAGACGTGTAATACTTCATTTTATAAAAACAAACCTCATCTTAAGACTGTAAGCATAGTATCGCCTTATTTCTGTCAGATACATTGAATTTTTTATCACTTCACACTCTACTTACATGTTAACACAACTGTGCCTCGGGAAATTAATTAAGCGCCATATGTTTCTCTTGAAAAAACACATTTACATGTATAACAAGGAATTAATATTTTACAGTTAAATGTACAAATGAAATCGAAAGATGAACAGTAATTATTTTCAAAAGTCCTTTTCAACGTTACAAATTATATTTAGATCCAATAAACCTCGGAAAACAAGGTGGGATCAGGTACCATAAAGGACGAACCATCCCCTGTAGAAAAGCACACATTTTAAAAATGCTTTAAATATGTACAGATACGCTTCATGCACTTCGAGGTTGGCTGGATAAATAATAATTATATTTCTTGACTTATTGTTTAAATATTTTTATACAGGGATGATTTGCATGTTGGGAAGCATCCTAGCAAAAATCAAACTTTATTGACGAAATACATCCGTAAATTATGCGTTTGTTTTTCTTTTGAATGTAAAAATGTTCGGATAGGAAACATTTGCCCCTTTTCTATGGACCTGGGATATTCATATATTACCGGGTATATTATTTTTATTTTCTATAAGTGAGCTCAGAACAAATCTATATAGAATCATGTTTTCAGTGACGGAACCAGGCGTTTTTGTGTGTGGAAAGAACATGGAGGTTGTCCAAACGATAAAGCCTGGATGGCCATTCTGGACTCCTCGGACACAGCCCAACATTGCTCATGGGACAAAAACGTTCAAAGCCGACCATATTTCTTGTACAGCAAGAAATCAACTTGGGCCCTTTGTGAGTCGAGTGAGTATATGTTAAAGGGAGGATGGAATTCTTTTGCATCTTTTATTGTATATGAAAATTATCGCATGACTATAAATTATAAATTTTCAAAGGTATGATCATTAAGCATCTTTTTCAGACAATGCATGGAATAGTGCCGAATTCCCTGCAGCGGAGACAGCTGCTATTTTTATCAAAGGTACATACATTTTTTAATATAAAAAGTTTAAATTTGCAAATATGGAGCGCTCTGATTTATTTATGTTTTACTTGTTGTACCATTTCACTAGAAATGAAACATCTGGTACATTTTCAAATTGATAAATACTTTTTCGTTTTACTTTTCTTTGAACTTTCCTATTGCACTATCGGAAAATATATTAGGTACATGTATATGTAGAATTCACATCATCTCGGGCCCTTCCGTCAGATGTGAAAGAAAAGTAAATCGAAAAATTTTTATCAATATATTTAAATACTGTTCACCGCCAAATTTAAAGTTTTCATTTGAAATGCATTGTTAAATGATGATCAAGTTTACAGACAGATATTATTATAAATCATGAGAAAAATGCAAATGCAATTGTTTTGTATACAGGGCATCCCCTACTTATTTTTACCACAAGGTACCTCTCATTTTCAGGCACCCCCACTTCAAGCTCGTATTTTGTTTATATACCGGGTATTAATCATTAACCTACTTTAAAATGATATTGTTTGCTTCAAAAGACTTTTTTTCTTGTCAGTTAAATCGTTTCAGACATCTCTGGTTGAGTCTCTTAATTGTAAACCACTTATTTATTCCTCGAAAATAACATCGATACATTTTAAGACTTATTGGGTTACAACTTTCGGTTGGGGGTAGGATAAAACCAGAGGTTTCCGAGTATTCGCATATCCATTCCGAGGTCTCGGGTGTTATCATTCCCCTAACAAAAAATACTATAGTAAACTATACTTAACTATAGTTTTCACCATAGTAAATAAAAGTTCCAAAGTTTTCACCATGATAGTAATTCGAAGTTCCAAAGTTTTCACCATAGTAAATCAAAGTTCCAAAGTTTTCATTATAGTAAATCAAAGTTCCAAAGTTTTCACCATAGTATATCAAAGTTTTTACAATAGTAAATCGAAGTTCCAAAGTTTCCAGCATAATAAATCAAAGTTCCAAAGTTTTCACTACAGTAAATCAAAGTTCCAAAGTTTTCACCAAAGTCTATCAAAGTTCCAAAGTTTTTAGTATAGTAAATCAAAGTTCCAAAGTTTTCATCATAGTAAATCAAAGTTCCAAAGTTTTAACTTTGGTACTATAGTTAATGATAGTAAACTATAGTTAACTATAGTTTACTATTATATATAGTATTTTTTGTTAGGGTCATTTGTAACCACAACCGGAAATTTGTATCCCAATAAA